TGGACGGTTCAGTAACCGGTCATAACTAGGAAGTTTGGGTAAACTTCGACCATAGGAAGGGGGTAATGTTATGATTTTCCCATGCTTATCTCATTCCATTTCCATTCCGAGCATTGCTATTGGACAGTACCTTTCTCCGAGTAGACCTTCCCATGGACGCTATCTTCTTCTCACACGTTATCTTCCTTGACTCACCTTCTACCAATGGGCGCCCTTGTATTTCTCATTTCTCTGAGTTACGTTCTCACAGGATGGCTTACGCGTCCTTTCTTATTGTTCTCTTCTTTGGGTATTAACCCCTATACCAGTTACTATATATACTGTAGGAAAACCCATGTATTCCTTAGTTCAACCTCCTGTTGAATACAGCGATTACCTGGACTCTTGACTTGACCGTTGGCATTGGCCCGGCCAGACCTACCTTTCAGTACGCTTACTGAGGTAGTGACGACATAACTGTTGGCACGTGGCCCAGTTATCTCAAGACGACTAGTTAGGACATCGCTTCCTAACATGGTACATGTTTGCTACCCCTCCTGTAGACAGCACCCCTGCACCAAATTTTGTCATTCTTTAAATGCCATATTTCTTCTCTATATCACAAACCCCTATATACAGATCCAAAGCACCATCCGAGCCCGAATGCGGCTGCTACAGATTTTTCTTGCGCGAAGGCCATTTGGCGTGCGAAAAGTCACGCCGCGCCGGAACACGGTTAAACCAGTCCGGTGGGCCGTATGGCAACAGAGAGCGTTCAGCTCGGAATGATCAGGTCCAGCCGGGCTTGGGGCATGGTCCAGGCACCCGGCAAAGAAAGCAACCCCCGGTCACCTTACTGTGATCCTTTTTGCGAAAGGGTAATCGAGACGATAATGCCCGCAGGGAGGACATTATCGGCATTTCATCGCTTCCATTGCTTGCAATAATTCGTGCATGGATAAGTTGGACTCTTCAGACTCTTCGGCAACGATATTTCCTCAGTTACACGCTGTCATTTCTTTTGATATATACTATCAAAGCTCTGCGAATGTGTTGTGATATTGGTACTATCATTTGGGTAGTTTTGCAAAACTCTCTGTAAATCGACGTGTTGCGCTCAGTTCGCTGGCTCTTGCGTCAGATGTTTTTCATGGCATCGTGTAGCGCCCTTCTATGTACCCAAATTTAATTTTTTTGTATTTTAATACGTGGTGTAGAGGATGCTGGACAGATGCCGGGGAGTGCAGGGGGTTTTGCAAAAGTTTGTCACGCGTGACATTCCCGCGAGATCCGCCTCTCGAAGTTTTGCAAAACAGCATCCCTATGGCTACATCCTCAATCTCTTCACAATCGGGCTGCTTGAGTAGCTCAATGTATGGTACACCAGTATAGTCCAAACGAAGTCCCGGCAACAAACCATGGAATGGGTACCAGATCTAGGTTTCACCCGGTCTGTAGGCGATTGCAAACACCCTCCTCTTCCTCCCTCTCCATGACCACTCGATATTTCCCTAAACCAACTTGACAGAGGGTATCTACTAGTCTATATCTACATGCCTAAAAGGTTCTTGAATTTTTTTATTTGGTATAGAGCTCTCTCTAGGGGCTGCGGTAGTTTTGCAAAATTTGCAAAACTACCCAAATGATGGTATAGTGGTCTTGACGCACTATGATCCCTTTCCTCATCAGCCACGAGGTCGACAGTTCAAATGGCACTGTAGTTCACCTAAGTTTGTATTAACACGGTTTTTCCTTTTTTTACCATGGCTCAAGTGAGTGCTTCGTCAGTGCTGCAAATATCCGCTTGGATGGGTATTTGAGAGTCTTGCAATCATAACCCGTCAGCCGGTCACTATGCGCCCAGCCTACAGTATGCAACACAGGGCGCCGGTACCCAGCCAGCAATAACACACGGCTGGGACGACTCAGATATCGTGGAGCCCGACTCTCCAAAGTAACCATACCCTCAAGTCACCAATAGTTCATATACAATACAAGAACATATCTATATAAGTTTTGGACCTTAGGTTCCCATCCGAAAGAAGTTATAGACAACACAAGTCAACCTGTGACATAGTCGCACTGTGACACATTACTCTACAGGCGGTTCTCGGGGCCTTGACAGCGGTGCCGTCGGCAACAGGTCCATCCTGCGGCAAAAATCGAGCTGAACGCTCTCTGTTGCCATAGGGCCGGCGGTGGCGGCAAATGCCATGGAGGAGTGGAAACAATCGTCAGGGCATTTGCCGATCCAATCATATACCTTCTGAAGATTTGATCCCGCGAATCACTCTAACGACCACGGCCCAGAAGACATGTCGGATACAGTACTACTTATAATTACAGAGGCAGGGACTAGACCAAATCGGTCCCTGGTGAAGGTCCTGTCATGAACGCTGACCAGAGCGTCTGCCAGCTCATGATACCGCAACTACAGTAGGCGAGCCGGTTATATGTAGTCACTCTTCTTGAGAGTCAACACTGGCACTGCATCGAAAATGCCGACCGCATCCGTGGATTCTAGCGGAACGGAACTCTTTTTTACGGACACTGGCCCAGTGCGGGGCGCCCACAATTACACAACCTTGGTCATCGTTCACGGAATCGCTTTCACAGGAGGTGTGTATCTATCAGTGTCAACAATCTCTTGTCTCAATACGCCTTGTGCAATGTGTTGTATTTCCAGAGACCTTTCATAGATTACTCCCGTACGGCAAAAGGGACAAAGTTCGTGTGGTAGTGGTGAATCGCCGGCAGTATGACGGCTCCTCAAAGTATAGCGATGCAGAGTTACAAGCAATAAACAGCGGACACGCGTCAGTCCTGAGAAAACTGGCCCTCGAAGTCGCGAACTTTCTCGTGTGGTTCGTCCGTACTCAAAACATACCACTGCCGACCGAGAATAAAAGGGCTGGAGGCATTTGCTTGATGGGCTGGTCCCTCGGCACTGTCAGCTGTCTCTCGCTACTGTCCCATCCTGGGATCGTACCAAAAATCGTTCACTCCAAGTTACAAAACTACCTCAGGAAGATCATACTCTACGGTGCGTGCTTTGCACCATGGCAAAGCGCTATTGAAATCCAGCTGAAACCCGCAGATCCTCCCCATTGCGCCTTCGGTTACGAAAAGCCGGATCAAGCATACGACCCGTTCCAAGATGCAGGATTCGCCGACAACATGGGCGCAGCATTCGACCACTTCTGCTACTGGGCCACTGCTTCCTTCGACCACCGCGGTCTTGCTACGCGGAGCACTTCCGACCTTGACTTCTCAAAGATGGGCCAAAACCCAGCCTGGGGCGACGTCCCAGTCGAAGACCGACCGAGGTTCGTTGATGCGAGTGCCGCTGCCACTGCAGATGTCGGTATGCTGTACCCGATGCAGCCAGCGATAAAGATACGAAGCCATAAAGCTTTGTTTGACGATAAAGTAATCCGGGCTGTGCTGCCGAACGTGGAGCTTGTTTATTTGTATTGCACGGATTCGTTCTGGCCGTCCGTTCTGACCTTCGTTGAAATAGAGACGCAGTATAAAGAGCACGTCTCTAGCGGACGGAAAGCGCGGCCCATGCAATTCGTCGAGATGAAGGGGGCGAATCATTTTGTGAGTCGTTTATTTGCTGTGCGCTTCGGAATCGGGGTAGACAACTTCGTCGAAGGTGCATTGGGCGAATCCGAGATTGTTCTGGACCACGGTAGTCGATGCCATGAGCAATTAGCAACCTCTGTTTCGGTAGAGCTCAGGCTCGGCCTGAAACATCAAAACCTCGTACCCTGGGCGACCACGCCCAAGGGAGCAAAGTGGTTTCTGGCTGCTGCTGTACCGCGCTGGGATTCTGTCGCAGTAGCCGACCAGCATCCAATCAGATGTACAACCCATGGTGTATGACTGTGTACGGGACGAATTCCAAGAGAAGTCTGTTTGCACCTTAGTGTACGGTGTCCCTTCACTTCAACGATCAACTTGAAGGATGGAATAATGAAACGAGAGCACGCCGCATTGCTGCCCTGCATATCTTGACCATCAATCATTGCAGGGCTCGAAGTCCGTTAAGTCTTGCGCTGCTGGACGAGTCTGATCATGAAGACCGGATACTTCCGCTATGACCCGCATGGATTGTCGCTTGGTCTTCGGATCTCCTGATTCTCCTCTCACTGTCGACTTTCACTGGCGTCTCTCTCACAAGGAATCCTGGACTATGACAGACATTGATAGAGTATATGACGCTCACGCAATCTACTTGTTACACCGGAAACCTAGCCGCGTGCATGCAGGCGGAATCAAGCACATACTGAATTGTTGCTAGACGTTCCTTACTAGTTTAGATGGCAAGGTAAGCAACCCATTTAACGAAGCTACATTGGTATGTAGCGCTTGCGAGATGAGCGGATACATCATGCATACATGATCGGTCCGCATGCAAATAGTCTCGGGAATTAGTCATACCAAGGCAAGACCAAGGGTAACGCTGACGGTTACTAGCGGCTGACCGTCGGATATCACTAAAGTCTACCAGCTGCCGCTACACTGCCTGAGCATCTGTCCCCTTGATCAGGATCCTGTACAATCGGTTCAAGTTCCGCATAGAAGGCAAGAAACCCTCGAAGCTGGTCTTCACGAATAGCATTCAAGAGACGTGCAAGCATGTCTGACCTACTTTCCCTACCGACTGTCGGTCTGTCGGCCTCTTCTTCCTCCTCTTCCCTGGTGGGAAGCACTAGTGGTTGTCCAAGCATGATATTCACCGACTCCCCATCCTGGGACTCCTCCTCGGACACCTCGGACTCGATCGATCCATCCCCGGGGCAGTCGGAACACGATCAGGGCAGTCGTACTGCACATTCTGCACCGACAGCTGCACCTTCTCGTGGCCTCGGGGTAGATGAGCAGCTCGCTAGTGCTGGTGGTGGTAGCAAGGAGAACACGCCGCGAGCGCCATCTTCAGCGGTGTTTGCTACAGAGGATCTGGGGTACGAAGCCGACTATGAAGGTCGATATCGACAGAAGCACTTCATTCACAAGTCACTCGGATTCGCCGACCACCGCCGTCACAAGAGGCTCTCGAAGGGGTCTCCTGTATTGGGGCTGTATCCGACCAAACCACCCGACATCTACATTCTACCAATTGATACGGATACCGATACCGATACCGACGCGAGCCTTCGTGCGACCCCTTGGAACCGTCAGCATGTCGAGGACGATGTATCAACCCAGTCAGGAACACTGCGGGTTCCGCAAGCGGAGACTGCGCAGACCCCACCACAGCAGACCTCCCGGCACTCACTGCTACCGCGCGTACATGTCACCAGTGCTTTCCTACAATCGGCCCAATCACGCTTCGACCATTGGTGCCGAGCCAATCATCGTACGCGGACGTTATATCCCACCGCTCCTCCTTATTCACTCTGATTACTAGGACCGCGAGCATTTTCCGGGAGCGTAGTTCCTGTTTCACCGTCGCACGAAAGCCTGGTCTTCGACGCGTTCACTCTGATTGCAGAGCAAGCCAATCATTCTCAACACGCAAGGCGTCGTAGCGTAAGCTGATTCCCTTGATGTATCGTCGCAAAGGAAAAGTACGAATAGAAGACGACCGGCTGAAGTGGATTTTGTACATAATATACGAAGTGCTATCTACGGCTTGTGCCAATGAGTGTCACCGCAGAATAGGGACCAAGCTTCATGATCATGCCACTTCGATCGGTAGACCCATGGCCTTCTTCCCGATGGGGGTCGTTATATCCTCCGGACATCCGTGCCCTTTGAAGCCAGCCTCCCCCTTCTCACGCGGGAAGTCCGGCGGAGGGATCCCTTGAAGGAACGACTCCTTCTGCCTCTCGACGTATGCTGAGTTCTGCGGAGTGCATGGCACAGCAGGTATATACATCACTGACGAGATTATATGTGTGAGTGCGCTCCGACAACTGACGCGAACTAGCTTGCCCGCACGCACCGGCTGAGTCCTGGTTTCCGGTATGCTCTTGCTCGACGGAGTGGATTAAGTCCTGTCACCCAAATTAGCTAAAGTATTTTGAACAGGGAGTACCCAGCATTACGCAGTGCCAGAAGACCATGTCGCCGGGGTAAACCTTTGGCACGGAGACCATCGTTTCGTCGAGCCTCAAGTGAGGATGCAAGACCGGATTAGGGCGCGGGCCTGTGAAGCCACCGTCGATAGGGTAAATTCCAGGAAACTCGGGACTGGAAATATCTGTAATATTTTGCCAGATGAGCTGCTGGAAGCAAAGCCCCAGCCAACGGACTCACCATATTCCCAGTTCTCCGCATCCAGTGGGTTTCCACTTACTGCTCCAGCTTTGGGGCGGAAGAAAGGACGCAGGATAGTATAGGCGTTGGATAGAAGGACATCCGGAAAGACTTTGAGTGTCCCCTCAGTGGGAGCCGTCTCACTGCAGATGGAGTTGAGGACGGTCCAGCTGACCTATTGGAGGCACTAACCTTAGAGCCAGCCAGCCTTGGAAGGTCCGGAAAATGGATGCCTTCCGTTTACGGTCAGATACTTGTTCATGGAAATGACACGGCTGTCGACAAACCTGGTTCGGTCGTCCATACAAAGAGCTACGAGCATTCAGACGTCCCTCAAGGTCGTACGGGTCATGGTTCTCCCAGTCGCCGCGCAGGATATCTGCAAAGCACTGTCTGAAGGTCCTGTCTTCCCAGCGTTCGATCGAACCACCTAGACAATCCTCAGATCACTGATCTACGCTCAAGAATTGGTGCTGAATACGAACCGTCGACGTGAGGAGGATGGCGTTGCCACTCTACCCCAGGGTGTCTAATCCTGAAGCGATCTGCATATGTGAGAGGAGTGGAAAGGTCAACGCCCTCGAGTCTATCTTGGTTCTTAAGGTGATAGAACTTGTTCAACCAAGCGGTGGCCGCAAGGACGTTTGGGTGGGCTCGAGCCTTTACTTGAGGACCGGTCCAACTACAAATTCTGATCTCAGGGGTATGCGAGCGAAAGTAGTCAAGGTACATACTACAGCATGAAGAATTGCTTATCCCCGTCGGGAAACCCTAAGCTACGGATCAGCTTAACTGTGTAAATATTGAGCAAAGATAACAACCTGGGACGTCTGGATTCGCAGTAACATATTCTTGAAGCGCAGCCTTCCAAGCGGCTGCTTCAGCATCTTCCACAACGTCCCTGATGACAACGCATCCTCGGCGCTTGATATTGTTGATTGTCTCTTCGTTCAAGGAGTCGAGGTCTGCGAAATTGACTTGCGGTATAATCTAAGACCCTACCCTGATCAAGAAGGGTCAAGCTACAATTGACTGAGGGACTCACATGGGTGTACTCTTTGGCAATCTGCTCAGTGGAGGCGGCGAGGGCAGGAAGGAGACGTCGCCAAGCCTCGGTGACGCGCTCTTCGAAGTTTGGGTAGGATTCTGCGATCTCTTGCTTGAGCTCAGCGAAACGCTCGGGCATCGGAGGATAGGTGTTGGCCATCTCGAATCACTCTGAAGTGTCCTAGCATTATCATCGAGTATTTATATGTCAGATGAACGTGGACATCGGAAGGCGGCGCGGCATCCTAGATAGGGTCTTGCTTTGGAATTTGCGTAATAACGAGTTAGTGCGACATTAGGGTCACCTGGGGAGGGTCTTAGGACAGACATGAGGTTGGGGTGACGTTGAGATACGCCGATGATAACCCGTTCAAAGACATTCACCGTCGAAATTCGGTGAGCGGGATATAAGTGAACATAGGAATACTGACATAGTATGCTCTTCATTTGTCCCTGCGATTGACGCGACACTTCGCAAGAGAAGTGAACAATGCGATTACTACTCGCTAACGACGAAAGACCAGAACTTCAAGCGACTTCAATGGCTAGTCCCATAGCCCGCCGTCCGATCGCACTAACTATGTCTTCGACTCGGCCCACACCCTTGAAGGTGGCTTCGCCTTTCTCTCTAGGGTAGTCCGGCGGCGGGACACCAGTGAAGAACGACTCCTTCTGACGCTCGACATAAGCGGAGTTGTGTGGAGTGCAGGGCACGGCCGGGATGTACATGACTGGGCCACAGCCATTGAGCATACATATCTTTCCAACTCACAAGCGACTCACCTGCAGAATCTTCTTTTCCGGTGTGCTCTTCTTCAACGGCATGTACGACATCCTGTATGGAGCATTATCACTAATTTGTTTGGTCATTCCAAGCACGAACTTACGCAGTGCCAGAATACCATATCCCCGGGGAACACCTTAGGTACTGACACCATCGTCTTATCCAGTCTCATGTGTGGATGGGAGATTGGATTAGGTCGAGGTCCAACAAAACCTCCATCTCTAGGATAGATGCCGGGGAAGTCCGGGCTGGATATATCTGCGTATTTCACTCAGCAATCGCGAAGAATCATCCACAGGTCGGCTTCATTACCGAATTCCCAGTTCTCGGGATCGAATGGGTCGTCTGAGACTTCGCCAGCCTTCGGACGGAAGAAGGGACGCAGGATTGTATATGAGTTCGACAGAACGATGTCCGGGAATACTTTCAGAGTGCCTTCGCTTGGTGCTGTCTCACTGCAAAGGGCCAACTAGTGAGCCGATGTGTTAGACCGCGTACTGATTGAAACACACCTTAGCGCGAGCCATCCCTGGAACGTCCTGAAAACGGTGCACTGTGAAGGGGGTTGGATGAGATTACACCTCGTGTACAGTTAGAAGGTCGTGAGTGGACTCACTTGTCCGGCACGCCCATACAAAGATGTACGAGCGTTCATCCGGCTGTACAGTTCATACGGGTCGTGGCTTTCCCAGTCTCCTCTGAGAATGTCAGCATAGCATTGCCGGAAATTCTTGTCTTGCCAGCGTTCAATGGCGCCACCTGTAAATAGGGATCGGTTTCGCCGTCTTGGTAGAGGAAGCTATGAGTACAATTACCATCGACGTGAGGTGGATGATTGTTCCAAAGGCCGCCCGGATGGCGGATCCTGAAGCGATCGGCGTATGCGAGCGGGGTCGAAAGATCTACTCCGTCGACTTTCTCCTCAGTCTTGACGTGATAAAGATTATTGAGCCAAGTTGTCGTGTTAAGGACGTTAGGGTGGGCTCTGGCTTTCACTTGCGGTCCCGTCCAACTGGCAAAGAGTTAGATTACAGAGAATGTACCGGAGTCAGTGAGATCAATAGCGGACGCACTAGAGCTGGAAAAATTGCTTGTCTTCCTCTGGAAACCCTAGTGAACGATGTCAATAGAAGTCTGGGCCAGCCCTAGTCAACGTACCTGGTACGGGGTTCGTCTTGACATATTCTTTCAGATCCCTCTGCCAGGCAGCTGCTTCCGCGTCATCCACGACATCGCGAATAACGACGCAACCTCGGCGTTTAACCAAATCAATGAAACCTTGATCACAAGAGGCAAGATCCTTGAAAGAAATCTGAGGCACCATCTTAGGGAACATGAGTCTTATCGCCTTGGAATTCAATAGCCTGATTACTCACGTTGGTACCTTCCCTGCCGAATTCTTCGGTGCTCTTCGCGAGCTGTGACAACAGCCTTCGCCATGCCTGAGTTGTATGTTGCTCGAAACCGGGGTACGACGCGGCTATTTCGCGTTTGATGTCCACAAAATGAGGAGGATAGGAAGCAGCCATGGTTAAGACAGGGGGGTGACGTTTGTCCTACCTCGCAGTCTTATAACATCGTTCGTCTCCGGGACCCCTACGTTGCAATCCGACCCTGTGAGTAACGGGACGGCATTCAGTAGATCAGCTGGACAAGGAGTAAAAGCGATTGATAACCCCGACAATTGACCGGACTAGCGCCCTAGCACCGCTGTATCAAGACTAGTGAATTCGAAAGCTTAGTACGCTCGGGTCATACATCGGCGAATATGAGGACATTAATCCATGAACAAGAATAGCATTTGTCAGATAGATCCTAGTATAAATCGATGAAGGGAGTAGATCGTAAGCACTTTGGAATTCCAAGTATAAGATGCATAGCAAGAAAATCCAATAGCCATAAGGATAGCGGACGTTATTGAGCCTCCTCGTCGACGGCTTCTTCGCCTTCCAATCCCCCGTCTTCGTGACCTTCATGTTGTTCCTCATATTGTTCTTCGTGATGCTGTTCATACTGCTCCGAGTACTGTTCTTCGTACTCCTCTTCATTCTCTACGCCGGCTTCCTGGTACTGTGTAAGAAAATCGTATCAGAATCGGATCCCCGTCTCAACGAGACGTCATGGTCTTGCTCACCTGCTGATACTCAGCGCTGCGTGGCTTATATTAGCACTCCATATCAGTGTTTGAACAATAGATGCTTACATGAGATCCTGCGCATTGCTCTCGGCCTCGGAGAATTCCATCGTGTCCATTCCCTCGCCAGTATACCAATGAAGGAAAGCATGACGCTTATACATCACTGAGAACTAAAGAGGCGTCAATTCGGCCGAGCATAACTCGGAGGACAAGAGTAAATACCTGCGCAAGATTGCGCTTGAAGAGCTCTTGGATAGCTGTTGAATTGGCCAGACAGGTAGCCGCCTAACGTGATGTTAAATCCGGCCATGCTTCCAATGACTGGGGCTCCAACTGACCTGTGACTGCCCCACGGGAGGAACGGAGCACAAGGCAACCGAAACGTTGTCAGGAATCCATCTGTGACCAACCCTCAGGACATTAACTATTACTATCAATAATACCGACGACGTACTCCACGAATTGTGTCGAGTTCCTCAGTTGCATCTGGTGTATGCTGTACTGTAGGTCACAACGTCAGCCGGTGCCTCCTCGGACCACCTTGCTAAAGCCTACTTCTGCCTGCAGGAGAAGTTAGCGGTGCCATGACGCCAAAGTCAGGAGACTTACTTCACGAGACGAAATCTTGCCCCTGAATATGGTGGCCGCAGTGAGATAACGGCTGAAAATGCAAGGCGTCAGAGCCGATGAAGAAGGTAACTCCGACAAACTGCCGTACCCGAATCTGGGATCGCAAGCGACAAGCAGGTTGCGACGATCAAACAGCCTGTTCAAGACCACTTTCTTCAGTCTAATTCGCACAAGGACGATAAACAATGCGACATACTCCCGGGTCAAGTCATCTACGGATACGCGTTGGAATGCTTTCGACTTCGGGTCGGTGAAAGGCGCGTAACTTGGCATCAGGAAATGCAACTATCCAAGAAAGTGAGGCTGCGGGGAGCTATCTCGAAGATATGTTCTTCGACTTACGCGAGGGAAGGGGACAAGATTTAAGCCGAGCTTGCGCAGATCCCTATGGAAGAGTTCAGATAACGAGGGGACGAAATCCAACGTATCATACCCATTCAACTGGCCAGGGAACCGTAAACTTGTACTGACCCCACACAAGACTTGGGAAACCAACTACAAAGAACGTGAACACCAAGAAAGAACGAGTGGGTGGTAAGGGGCTTACCACGTTCAAATCTTCGAAATTTGGTTGCTTGATTTTCAGCGTGCGAGCAGTGATGTCGTACCTATGTCATAGTTTCATAGTTCAGATCCAGCAGTTGCGGGATGCAGCAGAACCAATCTACTCAACAAAGCTTCGTTATCAATGCACACGGTCATGTCGCTGTTCTCCACCAGCTGGTGCACGGACAGCAATGCATTGTAAGGCTATGAAAGAAGGGCATAAGCCTTAGAGCGCGTCAGGTTTCGTCTTCAGTCCTTACTTCGACCACGGTCTCCGAGACCTGCGCAAATCAGTCAGATGATTTGAGCAGACGTCAGCTATGAATCCTGACCTTTGGTGCGGGAAGAATGGAGAAAGTAGCTAACATCCGGTCTGGGTATTCCTGCAACGTAAATGTCAGCTGCGCCATGTTTGATAGGTTCATGACAGACTTCTCGGAGCTTGGAGAGCAGCAATGTGCCCAGGCCAGCGCCTGTGCCGCCGCCGAGGGAGTGAATTAACTGGAATCCTTGCATAGCGTCGCAACTGTCCAAGAATTACTGAGCCTTGGAAACATGGATCCGGCAAAATACGCACGCATCCGCCTGCTTCCTAATAACGTCCTGAGAATGGGCAGGGAATTCAGCAACGTCACACTAAATTATCCTAATTGACCGCACATACCATGATGGAGTCGACTAGCTCCGCACCTGGGCTCCTAGTAAATCACAGTTATATGATATTGCTAGTAGACTTACCCTCTGTGTAATCTGGAGAATCGATGCAGTTTGCATCAGCACCAAAACACGATTTAGATAGGCAAGCGACGTACATCCTTTGGCCCAATTATTGCCCGCACCGACTTCAGCGTTCAGGAAGGTATCAGGTCGAAACAGACCACCCAGGGGTCCGCTCCGAATCTATGAATTGATAAGCAATAGTAACACATCGCCAAGGGCAATTCACAGTACTTACCCGGTTGCAAACACCGGCCTCTAGATCGATTTGTACACTCCGCGGCACATACTTTGTGGGATTTCCGGTGGACTCAACTTCACTGAAGTAGACATTGGCCTACTCAGCCATCGTTGTTTAGCCAAGGATCCTACGGCGAAGGACTTCGATCCACTTACGCGCATCAGCTGTTGCGGGTCATCGCCTTTATAAAACTAAGCCGAATAAGTTCATAAGCTTCCCAATTGGAGAGAACGGAGTAGCGATCATTTACCCCTGCATCATCAAGGCCATGTTCTGCTAATACCGTCCTCCAAAAGCTCTCCCCAACTTGGTTTCCGGCCTGCGCGAGACGATCAGATGAGTTTCTTTGTCCGAGCTCCAGTGATCATGATCCAAACCTGTCCAGCCTGTCCAAAGCGGATTTCGATACTTAGTGCTTCAGTGATTGTCAGCATAAGACTGGTACTTTACCTGAATGTTTATGATTTCGCGAGGCATATCGTCGATATCGGCTACTCAGCCTTACAGACAATGGACAAAGCGATGAAGCGCTGGGTCGGAACGCACGATCTACTGCAATGACGTTTTGGGTCTCGTCCAGTCTTGCTCGGACTTTCCCGAACCACTACTGCAGAAATACGCTATCACAGGAATCTCATTCGCATGGCCAACATTTTGCACATCACAGTACCTGACGTATTTAACTACAGGCAAACGTAGATAAACCTCGTAGAATATAGAGTCCACCGACACCTACTTCACAGCAGATTCATAAAGCACTTTACACGGCGATAAACGAAGGGAACCCAGAGTACAACAGTCTAGCAGAGTCCACTTAATCTTCAAGGCCACGCCTCCATACAAGTCTTGTCCGGCCTCTTGCTGTTGCGTCCCTTACACTCCATCTTACCACAATCCTGACACGGATTCGTACAAAACGCCCTCCCCCCCTTCCCCTTACACTCGTTCGACCCGCACTTACAACAATGCCTTACACGTTTGTGGACCTGCTCCATGCCAGCCTCTGGGTCTAGCGCCATGCCGTCGTACGGCCGCCCCGATCCGCCACTAGTAGGCTGGTGAGACGCGGAAGTCAACGCTTGAGTGGACTGCTGATAATATGGAAAGGCAGTGTACGGACTTGGATACGGCATATATTCCGCGGCCTGTCCAAAGGTTTGGAAATGGTGCTGCTGCTGTTGCGGCGGGCCGATCTCGCGAACATGGGGGGATACGTTAGCCGGGACTGGGCTCGACTGAGCTGGGCCCGATGAATTGGGCGGCTGTTGACTACCGTCCGATGCAGCATGAGCACCATTCCATTCGCTGTTGTATTCCTGGGCGTCGTTGTTCTATAGAAAGTGAAAAGGTGAGCTGCGATGATAGCTAGGTGGGACACGGGATATGTACATCGTCGTGGTTCTGCTCTTGGGTATCTGCCCCAGCTTCAGGTTGACCCTCAGGATTTTCTTCGGCACCTTGGACATCTCGGGCAACCTCTTGTTCGTCGCCCTCTTCCTCCTCCTCCTTGTCGCGATTAAACGCGTTATCCGGGACTCCGTTGTGGATACCCCGAATGACGGACAATATCTCGCCCTTGCCCATGCCAACGGTCAGGCATCCGAGGACCATATTCCAGAGCGCCTTGGACACACCCAGCGCTTGCCAGTTCCAGATGGTAGGACCACTACCTAGATCTGACAAGCCATTCCAAAGCTGTGCAGGGAATTCTTGGAGTAGGATGTGAGGCAAGGCACGTAGGATAGAATAGTCTGTGCTCGCGTACTTCCGACCCTCAGCGGAGGTAGCGGCTACGCAGGTGGCACTCTTGCAAACGTATTCGCATCCAATGATATAAAACGGTTCACCGAGATCATACACCTTGATGGGTCCAGAGCGAATGCGCCCGTTATTCTCAAGCGGTGAAGTGCAGTGAGAACAGGCAATTCCATTGAAGACCAGGGGCTGCGGATCCCAGTAGAGGAAACGGTGCTCGAACAGCGGACGAGCACTTGAGGCCGGAGCAGTCAAGACGAAGTACGCGGGGGAGGAGGGTAGCCAGAACGTCCTCATGATAGAGTAGAAGGAGGGAATACTAGTCTGGCCCTTGACATTCTGCTGGAGAGACCCCAGATGAATTTTGAACGCGTCCTCTACGCTGAGCCCTAGGCGCGACACAGGGCTGGGCGCTGCTAGGGATCCAATGAGGGCATGAAGCAGCATATCCGGCTTCTTGCGAGCAAGTTCAAACCAATCGTCTCGGTCAAGACTGGGGTCAATGTTCGACGCACGCCGGGGACGCTTGCGGCTCGCGCCAGACACCGACTCAGAACCTCCATCGGGAAAGGGAGGCAGCTGCCATGCAGCACTGATGCCACTGAAAAAGCCCTATATGGATGCTCGTTAGTTTAGTCCTGCATGAGGTCAAGTAGGAGCAGCATACCCCAGGTGGTGCCGAAGCTGAACCGAGCCCCTGAGTAGCAAAATCCCCAGGTGGACGCTTGCGCGGTCGACCAGGAGGTCGCCTGGTCCCCGGAACGGATCCAGCGGGCAACCCGTCCTTTCGGGGACGTCCAACGGGCCTCTTTTCTCGTGGAGGGGCGTTTGGATCAGCGGATTTCTTGCCGCTGCCTTTCGGTCGACCCGGACGCCTCTTAACTGGTGTCCCGTCCGGGTTAACACCAGGATTCATCGATATACTCGGATTCTCGAGGCCCTGATTGATGGCGGGTGCACCTGAAGCCATATTGATGGCATTGGGGTTCGGTGGCACGCCAGACATGTAGCTGGATTGGGTTGCAAGGGTGCTTGATAGGGACATGTCGGCCATTCGGATAGCTACGAGAGCGGATCATGTTGAGAGTGCAGTTCAAGAAACAGCAACAGAATGATGGCAGTGGCATCGAAAGAATATCGGCAAGGTACACCATTGCAGAAAAAAAACAAGAGAAACGATATTTTCGAAAGAGCAACGGCTTACTCAGGGGGTTTTGACCAGCGCCAAACACACTCAATATCCTGCGCAAATCAAGCCGCACTAATTAGGCACTGGAAGCGTTCCCTGTCTAGAGGCCTGCCTAATGAATTTACGTGAACGTATGGCAGAGTTATCGGCGGTTATGGGGTTATTGCCAGAGGGTTACAACAGGGTTATCGCAAATTTCGGGAGGATACGTGTGTGGGAACTTCCGTAACGCAACGGCGTGGTTTTCCTCAATTTGCAGCGGAGTTCCAAATATTCTCTGTTCTCTTATATACATGCACCGGACGACGGCAGCGTAGACGTTGCATGAAATGGGACACCTCTCTGGACTGGTAAGCTTTATTTTTCCTCCTTTTTGTTTGCCTTCTGTCGCACTTTTCCTCGTGATGAGCATCCACCGAAAGCAATTAGGAAGTGCCGTCTGAAAGCTCTGCTTCTTGTCGAAACCGGTTCTCTGATATTCTAATCTTTCCATTGCAGTCCTATCATCGAGCAGACTATCTGATCAGTTCATGCTTTTCTTCATCATAGGTTCCATGTGGTCCTGCGTAGTTTTGGTGGTGGTTCTCGTGCTTGTCCATGGATGATTGTTCGTGAGCTGTCGGTTCGGTCAAATGTCGTTTCCGGGTGTTATGAAAAGCGCGTCCAGCGACTATGTTGCCTCGTCTCTGTTTCTGTGTGTCCCCACAAGAGTAATTTTAGATGTTCTGTAATTCGTGCAGGTGGGTACAAGTTTTGCTCGATTTACGCAGCGGCGAGTTCTGTGTAAAGCCGCACTCATTCACCCAAGCGCAGCCACGTCAGATAAGCTTGAATAGATTGAGGTACCGTTTTCGACTGCTCTTTCCGTACCAAGCGGAAGGTAGTTCTCACTTCCTCTGCATCTGACTCACCTGAAGAGGTGAGATTGTACTGATGGCAGCATCAATCAGACTCAGATCGACATTCGGAGCCTACCACTGATGCTCTTTTCCAGTATTTCTACTTGTGGCTAGGTCATCCGCCCGTATCTACCTATGAACCTAGCCCGACGATGCCTACTCCATACCCAACTGTGCATCAATCAGAGCGTACTTGACCAGCACAGCTTGAGCGCCTGCAACGAACTGTGAGTATGCTGACTCGACTTACGATAGTTCGTACTTCTCAAAGGGAAATACGCGGTGGATTTCGAGAGCATGTCTGACAAGTCCTGTATTGGGATGCGGGGCATCAACAACACGGAACATAGTAAGTACATATGAAGGAACAGGACCATACGCACCTCAAGGCACAGTGGGGCGTCATTGGCATGGACGGCACGATCCGTATCCCTCGGTCATCGCGCGAAACCACATTTTAATCACAAAGATCACCGTCCAGGGCGTTCCGGATTGGGCACACCGGTGCTTGGCATCTCCAGATATCCCTGGGACCCACAACACAAGCGGAAAGCATTGGATACAACATTCCAGCAAATCCGTGCTACAGAAAACAAGCGCCAGTCACCCGGTGAACGGCGTACCCGCAGTGACTGCAGAGGCATCCGGCCAAATTTGCGATGCCTTAGGAATACGTTGCGCTGATAGAGGGAGGACTTTCCCCGAGAGCGAACGCCAATCTGTCCACCCCGATGAAGTCGCCAGATGGAGAATGCAACGAGCCGGCGGGATGGCGAAGTCGCGGAGGAATGTTCCGCGGTCTCAGTCGGTAGTTCCGTCGATTAATATTTCTGAGCGACCTCGTTCCTTACGGCCAGGTGTTGAGCAGACGACAGCGAAAACTGTATCAAGGCCCACGATGAGTTCGTACAATACTGAGCGTCCCTGAATTAACTATACCTGGGCAACCGGTGAAAGCTGCGATGGAGCATAGGAAGACTGGTTCAAGATGCGGCGTCGGGGCCTTCTCAGCCTGGATAATGCCACGAGCGCACGCAGTCGGATCACGTTCATAGAGCGGGTGTAGATCTTGATTTTGGCGGGATATTGAGATGGCCGGAAGCAGTCCTTCGACTCGGTGCCAAATATAGACCGGCCAACAGTCTGAACGCCAAGTGGCCGGCTTGAATCCGCTCGAGATTGAAGTGGATTAGAGTGGGGAACGGCCAAATCTGGGCAAAGCTCTCCTGTGTTTGAGTCGCCTGAGAGGGGATAGAAGTGGAATATAGCGGTCACGGGCTTCATACGGGGATGTCGATGGCAGTAGAGCAGAAGCTTCCCGGCGGTGGAAGAATCCAAGGTTTTGGTCGCTGATGGATTAGCCCGCCCTCTCTCCGGGCAAAGGTTGTCCACCGTTCGACTGGTACAGTCTCACTAAATTCCCACACATATTCCGAGAGGCTGGCGGGCTGACAGAACATGTCTCAAAGGATCTGTTTGAGTTCTCAGACATGAAGTCCCAGATTTACTAGGACTTACTTCTCCTGGTAATCTGACCATATTGGGGCAAGGTCCTATTTAAAGACCGTCACCTGTCCACAGACCAGTACCTCGTTCCGCGCACACATGGAGCAAGGCGTAAGTCTGTGTTCTGGCGATCTGTTCGACGTAGTAACCGCGCCAGAAGCACTTCAACAAAAGCACCGAGGTTTGAAGGACGCCCATTGGACTGGCTTCAGTAGTTCGAATCCAGGCAGGCACAGTTGAGCTGCGCGGCTCTCATCCGTTAGGTTACCGACGGAGACGCACACTAGCTACTGGCACTCACTGTGGTTGTGGAGCCGGATCTAATTCCAGCGGTCGGGTTTTCTTCATACGAGCCAATGAGAGACGGGCGCGTCTAGTGACCCCGAGGGCCTGGCTCCCCGAGAAGGACCAGCCGGACTAAGTGGTGTTAAGTTGGACCGCCTTCGCTCGTGGACTGTCGTTGGATGACGAGATTACGGAGAACGATATACCGGAGAGATAGGAGAACCTACATTCTATCTTTGAATATAACCATGCATGGAATTGTCTTTAAAAGTGTGTTGACGGTCCCCGCGGGCGGCCATGCCTTGAGACATGTAGTGACAATAAGGTGGTACGGCAAATTGATGTATATTCCTGGAAGTATACGTACTGAATGCATCGTCCTGATACAGGAACTAAGCGGCGATATCCACGCCGACAAGTAAAGAGCTCTCCGATGTGCGTCGGAGAACAGGACAAGTGGGCACAGTAGGGGCTAGTATTTTCTTGCGGAATGCGAGAATATCGCGACAGTCGATGTCGATGGATTGATTGCTTGGATAATGATCAGTAGGCGTCATGACCTTATCGATTGACAGAGCAGACCTTAGACGGTTGGCACGGAAGAAAAATTAGCGAGTGCCTGCTGCGCGCTATATGACCGACCCGTCACAAAGGAATGTTCACTATCGAGTCCCGTGCGGGCGACGGCGGGTTATGCCCTATACCACGAGACCGCAATACCGTAACGGCAGGTAGACGTCCCAAGAGCCGCTAGGGCGGTTTCCACGTAGTATATCAGACAGAGCGTCGCCGTCAGGATGCTGGTCATCAAATCGCCTATCCCATGGGATGTCTCCTTGTCTGATTCCAGTCACCTGGCCGACGAAGCTGGAGGCAATGAGCAGGTGTATCTTGTATCTAAGGCAGCAAATCAGCTAAAGCTTGACATCCATGAGACATATGCTCGATTCCGAGGAAACTTCCAGCAAACCATCGCCAGTGAATCGATAGTGGACGCCTGGGAGGCATATGGCCCGAGACCCCACATTCTTCGGTAGCTTGCGCGCATCACTAGACGAGTGCTTGCAGACCTTGACACCCGACCAACCACCTGAGTCTGAGTCTGAGCACACGCTCGCGTCGTCAACTTAGAGCATTGAGTCCAAGAGCCGGTCCGACAAGCTTGATTGCGGAGAGCAGAGGATGGCAGTGAGAGGGCGTGGGCGGTACGGTGTATTTTTGAGCCCTTGGTGGAAGCCCAGGAGAAAAGGCGGTCCCATCCGTCTAGACGGAACCTGGGCTCTTTCTAGCGCTCCCTGACGCGGCACAACCCTGACAGATGCTCAGCTCAGCGCCTGGATCTGGGATAGCGGGCATTGTCTCAGGGTGAAGGGGTAAGATGTCAGCTAAACCTACATTTCGCAATTTATTTGGTGTGAAACGTAATCGTGATCTAAGGATATTTATCCCTGCCTGTGGTCTCTTGTTATCCATGCGGATCCGTCCACACGGAGAGATACGGCGTTTGTAAAGTATGTCACTTTGATATGCCTGAAAATGGCGCAAGGTCAAAATAAGGCTAGATCCAAGACATATTACCCTACCGTAGTCGAAGGGGGAATTATTTGCTTTCGTATTCGTGACTCCCTGGAACAACCAACAGCGGACGAATGTATGTCGAGGACTTATATGGCATTCAGAAAGCCACGTAAGGTGTAGGAAGCGAGCAGCGTATGATAACTGCACGCAGGAACTGTTGAGTGTATAATAGGTCAGCGAGGGACTGAATGGCATGAGAAGGGGAGCCGACACTGGGATCCAGTGGATGTGATACATATCAACGTCCAATTGGATTTGGGAGGAAACAAGCTCTGCAATCCCGCTCGGCCTGGTCGCGTAATCATGCGGGTGACAGCGGGCAATCGAGTCAGTTGTACCACGCGCTTGCTTCTTGCCACGCCGTGGCGTCGGGACCAGTGACGAACGCCCTCAGTCCGATAGGAAGATGTTTTGGACGGGCTTCATTGGGTGGGATGACCCGGAACATTCGGTACGCCTGCCTCAGATTCGCAAGGAACTAACCCTGATCCAAGGTGGGATGTTCTGATATCGAGGACTGCAAACCAAGGCCGTGACGAAAGCCATGAACAGGGATGTCGAACGGTGAAGGTTCGGATCATGGACTTTGGCAGGGGAGACAGGGAAAGGAGTGCGAACGGTATGACCAACTTGGCGGAGAAGCGATAGTTCGCTCTCGGCTTTCTCGACAGCTGGACCGGCACAGCGATAATGACGATGAGGGCCTGAGGCGGACCCTACAGCGAGCGAGTTCCACGCCCTCGGAATAACTGCACGAGTAAACCGACTTTGTTCGGTTCGTGTGAAGGTATCGTCATCTGAGGACTCATCGACGGCTCATGGCAAGATATGGACGTCGTGGACGTACCGCCGAGCTGAATACGAAGCCCATGCGCGGATCGACCGCCAGGAACTTCACGCTGATTGCTAACGTTGGACTGTAACTAGTTCACAGCCTTGAGAGGAGCTTCCCGACCGGCTGCGGTCCCCATGTTGCGGTCTCTTGACGAAGAAAACATTGTTGCACAGACCACCGGTTATCGGGCAGTCTTATTGTATGGTGCGTCTGGAAGGGAAATACGGAGTTTACAGCCATGCTACATACTCCGATGTCACTGTTTAATTTTTGTAGATGCAGACGCCTTCTACTTTGCAAGTAAGATTTTCGATAAGGAGTCTGACATATAGATTCAACAGAAAGACTCACAATTCTACGCCTGGAACGCATCGCATGGCAAGGCGCCATGGTCTCTCCTCTCGGCCGTAAGCTCGTGACATCTTGATTGTGATTATTTGCGGTGAAGGCTGATGAGCATTTGAGCCGTAGAGATCCTGGCTCGGAAACAGTCCTGCGCAATCCTGCCTGGGTCGAACGAAAGGACCTGGAACTGGGCCCGGGTTTTCTTCGTGACGGGAAAAGGGTTAACGATGCATAACGTTCGGACGCCGCCCATTGATTTTGGGTCGCGGATTGTGCATGTCTGAGACGAAAATCATACGTGCCATATGAGCGGCACCATGCATCCGAGCAGGCTATCCTGGACGAAGTCTGGATATATCCCCTGGCAAATTGATACGATATTTCAGTGAGTTCTTCATACTTATCCAGCCCGTCAGCACCCTTATGCAGACCAAGTGAGAGATTTCCGAGCAGTCCTGGTTCCCGATGCTTGCAGAGTATGTCGCAAGCAGTGGTAGACTTCATAACTGGCACTGACATCGTTGTGTGGGTCGTCACTCCCAACTTACTCCAATGCCATACGCCGATTCGCCAGGCTAAATTAGGCAACTGCAGTTGGCCCGGAGCCAGCGGCTACCGCTACAGAATGGCTGCAGCCATGGCTGCCGCAAAGGATGCCAGTGTATCAGTTATGTAACTCATTCGGCGAATCAAGCGATGCTCTACGCGGTGAAGTTTGTCGTCGTACTCATTGATTTCTTCTCCAGAATGACGCTCCCACTGATATAACTGTTTATGCGCATTAGTCACCTACGGGCAAGATAGTATTCTCCCCGAATGTGGTGTAAGAAAGTTCAAATCATTCGCTGACGCACGAGCAAGTTAAGACGAAGCGTCTGCTTACTGCGCAGCTTCCTGACGCGCAATATCCCGAACACCGCCTGATGTGCTCAGAGACATGAAGGTGCGGGTCCGCTGGCATTTTCCTATGACCCCACAACGTGAGTGTGTACATGCAGGCGATGGCCGATCAGATAAAGAACCAGCATCTGCGGCTCTCCCGCGCGCACATATCGATAAGTACAGTCTACAAGATCCGACATGGGCGAATCTCCCTACCCAGGTACGAGGGAACGAATGGCACGAATGTTATACCTTCAATCTAACCTCATAGAGTCATGATCAGTGGAAACACAGGTACCTCTTCGTCGCTAAGGCTGGTGTATTGCGACCGTCCCTATATCTACCAATGGAATCTATTCCGCGTGGGGCTGAAGCCCTTTTGGTACTGCCCTTGCCGCTGCCGCAAACTCAGGGTAAGCGGCGGGAAGCTCAGCACAGCCAGAAAGTGAACATGCAATGATTGTAGTAAGTAACTTCATGCCTACAATACGAGGGAGAGCACAACTCTCGCTGTACACTGGCGAGAATAACGACAGGTTAAGGTGTGTCAGTCGGATCCCAGTCCGTGACAAGGTCTGGCGCCATGTCGAGTCTTTGTATCAGTAAATAACCTGGAACGTGACAATTTAATACGCACACTCATCCAAACTGTCTAGAAGTGCTATGTCTTCATCGCTAAGTCGAAAATCAAAGATCTGCGTGTTGGCGATTATGCGACTTTTAGACGCCGATTTCGGAATCACGATGAAACCCTGCGGATCCGGCAATTAGCTCAGGGTCCATGCATTTCTCTCACATGTAACGCACTTTCTGAATGGACCACCTCAGCAAAACATGGGCAGGTTGCTTGCCGTACTTGGTCGCTAGCCTGGCGATATCGGGGTGCCCGAAGCGCAATCCCCGTACAAGGGGCGCCCATGCCTGCATGAAGGATGTAATAATTTCAAGCACGGGTGATTGAAATGATGAGTATATTACACTGACTTCGAGTGCTATAGCATGTTCCTCGCAGTAGGTTACGATATCCCGACGAGTCATGAAAGGGTGCAGATCAATCTGAAAATACCCAGGACGATTTAGCTCCGGTGAAGATATTCATCAGACCTCGCCAAGCGCCAGACTTACCTGGTTAACCGCGGGGATGGGAACGCCACCTTCTGCCATCTCCTTCAGGTGGCGGACACTGAAGCAGCTGACTCCAGCACTCTTTAGCTTCCCCTCGCCTTGCGCTTCGCATATGGCTTTCCACGCCTCGCGTCTAGCCTGGGGTCCGCCGATCGGAGAGTGCATGAGGTACAAATCTATGTATCCCAAGCCGCAGGCGATTAACGACCGCTCAATGGCTCGTTTCGTCGCGGCATATCCACTGTTGGACTTCAGCTTTGTGGTGTAAAATATCGCAGATCGCGGAGTATCGGTTTCTTTGCAAAAATCTAAAATAGCGTGACCACATTCGCGCTCATTCTCGTACCACTCCGCGGAGTCCTGCGTTCGTCAGTTGTAAGGGCCAACAGGGGGGGCGGTCCTTGTGACCTACGATGTGCCTGTATCCAGCCTGCGAGACAGTCATGAGAGGACAGTTATCACAGATGCTGTGGTTGACACTACTTCAAGTGCCCATTTTACAGCGTTGTAGGCATCGTTTCCGTCAAGTTCGTATGTACCTGTCGATGACCGGTACCATCAGACCCTGTATCTACCATGTCCCTGGGCGAGCGTACCGAATCCGAGGATCGGTATTTCATTGCCATCGCTAAGCTGGAAGCACCCTCAGATGAAGTAGAAATTTATATGCAGTATATGTCGACTTACCTTCAGTTTCGACTGCAAGGTTAACTGCGACATTGCAGAGGTTAGAATTCGGATGGAGAATCAAAGAAACCCTGCAAAAGCAGCCGAAAAGGGGATGCCATCGGATGGGGGCCAAAGATCACGTGATCTCCGAAGGACGACGCGCCGTGCAAAATTTGGCAGCAAAACAATTCACGACCGATGTTAGGCATGCTCAATTCTACAATTCGGCCGTTCGCTCGAGCAATCGTTCGCGCTTTCGTTCGCGCCAGGAATAGCTCAAGAAGTGATGCGGGAGATGGCCGAATAATCATGCGACTTTCTCCTCCGCGCTGGTTTGGCTCGCTCAAGCTCTCTGTGTAAGTAACCCAAATACAATATATGGTTAGGAATGTACTACTGGGCCTGCGCCGTAGGATGGGGATTAAAGTAATGATGACAGGCACTAAACGTCTGTTCTGTTACTATGTTACCACCATGTAATGAGCTTATTGCCAGTGAATAGGAGACGTTGCAAAACTTTGAAGTTCGAGCCGCTCGAGGGAGCAGACGCTCGGCTCCCTTCGGCCATCTCCCGCATCACTTCTTGAGCTATTCCTGGCGCGAACGAAA